AAAAAAAAAAAAAAAAAAAAAAGAGTCACCCGAACCACTGATATGTATTATAACTAAAGACATGACAAGAACTATGAAGATGGGCCCATTGTGTACAAGCACCCCTTACTAATAAGCTGTCTGCAGTACAATCAATGACAATAAATTTATGTATCACATAAAAACAACAGAAGTTGACCAACGTGCTTCACATTTCTGACAAATGATTGGATAAAACAACACCAAAGAAACATGGAAATGTTCTAAAATAAGTGAAATTAATATAAAATACAGCAATAAAACATAGAAACATTAGCTTTTAAAGAATCCCAAACTCTGRCAGAATCAAAAGCCAAAACATACTGATGGGTCTTAGCGTAGCTTTAAAGGTTCTGATGTTCTCAGCTGTCTAAATAATAAAAAAAAGTTGAACTACTCCACAGGTTTGGGGCAGAAACCTCAAAAGCCTGATCACCTCTGAATTTTGGCTTCGATCACYGAACYTCTAAGAGAAACTGGTTGGATGACTGAAGTGCTCTAACTGGAGTGTGAAGGTTAAGGAGATCACAAAGGTATCATGGGGACAGACCTTTTTTCAACTTTGAAAGTAACCAGTGAAATCTTAAAAAATAACCTAAAAAAACAGGAAGCCAATGGAGAGAAGCCAGAACTGAAGATGTGTTTATATTTTTTAGTACCTATTAAAAGGCAAAAACCCTCGCATAACTGCTCTAGTCTTTTTTTAAATCAAATGTAGGTCTTTAATTTACTCAAATTTTATTCATCACAAATGGATACAAACATTTTTTTTTCTATGAGCTTCTTTATAACTTTCAACCGTACAAAGAGGATTCTGACTTATCAGTGTCTTACAGGCAGGGATCCCTCAAAATCTGTGTCCCGCAGTTGCAGTGGGAAAAGCACTTGGCTTAAAAAAAATAAAAGCTCTAACTATACAGTAAGCACTGGCTGCTGAAATTGGTTCAAAAAGAGAGATTGTGAGATACAATGATTGTCTGCTTGTGTTTGATGTTGTTCAAAGACAGCTTCTGACTTCAGGAATGCTGCAGCCCGGAGGGGGAGTAAACCCAGTAATCTGCACACAACAGATGAGCTTTTTGTTCTTTACTGGAGAAACCGTTTGAGCCCCAAGTTACTAAAACTGAATACTAGAGATAATCTTCTCAGATTGAGATTGTATTAAATGCTTTGAATCTATACAGTGAGAAAAAAAATTATCTCCGCTTGTTGTTTCCAACACTGACGTTTCTATATGGAATGCATATCTCCCACTGCCGTTCATGGTTTAAATTAACATAATTGTCTGTTAAACATGACAGAGCTTTATCAAAATTTTTTAATTATCTTCATTTCTATGCAACATTGAGGGATATTGGGCTCAAGGGATGTCTTGTCATTGGCCATGTTTCCACCCAATTGTAATGAATTTTGTCTGAATGTTTAAAATGTTTCAGAAAAGAAGAAATATGAATTAGGTGTGTTTCCAGCTGCTGGTTTGGAGTAAAGCATAATTTCTTTAGACATTGTCGTTARGCATGGTTGTAATAAACAGGAAGTAGAGGTAAACTAGCAGAGACCACACATCTCGGGACAGTAGAGAGAATTTTTTTAAGGAATTTATAGCTATCGGTTAAGTTGTAATTGTTCTGTCATATCAGCCAGTATTGGTGATGTTGTATGCTGTTGGGAGATGTAGAGAAAGAAATGTAATTCTTATGGGAATATCCAGGAAGATGTCGACAGTAGAGACAGCTGATCGATCGCAAGGTAAATGTTCAACATGTCAGAACTTATTCAGCAAATGTTTCCATCTTTTCTTTTGCGCATTAACTTTTTTTCTGAAAGTCCAAAAATCACAAGTGAGCGTAAAAACTTTTCTGCGAAATTGAGGTTTTTTTTTTTTTCAGATGTTCTGTTTCCATCAATCGTTTCTAATGCAATACTTCAAAATGTGCTTAAAAAAACATTGATGGAAACACAACTAATGATTTTATAAATATTTGTACAATTGGCTGAATTATTGTCATTTTTGTGTTTCATAAGTTGGGTCTGTTGCAGCCATCTTGAATTAAGTTTTTACCAAAGTTAAACGGTTGTAGAAGTCAATCAAATGATTGTTTCCTAAAGGTTTTATTAAAATATGATTCAGGGTTTGAGATATTTTGCTAACATACAGAGAACACGAGCGAAAATAGTGTCGTCTACTGACTCCATTCAGCAGCAATAAGTTAATGCATTAAAATGCCCTTTTGGATACTCTGATTGCTGTATTCACTGAACGTAGATACTAGTGAAGTTCTGTTTAATTTTGTTTGGATTTTAAGGGCTGTACTGTCTCTGTCATCATCAGCAGAGGTTGTGCAGAAGTGGTACTCAACTCAAAACAAAGTCAACAGCTTGACGCTGCAATTACACTTGTGGCCTTGGCGGATTTCATAATGAGAAACGGAGGTGAAAAGGTCGTTGTGTCTGGACACGGAAGCTTTTGCATTAATTATAAGAATTTTAGAGGGYCAGTCTGGTGAGCTGCAGTTAACGTGTGAATAAGATAAACCTGCACATGCTCAAGTGTAAGAGTTCAAATTAATTTGGATTTACTGACGATTATTTTTACCAGAAAAGTGTGGAAAGGCCCCTCTGTGTTTMTMWMTMTMTYTMTMTMTMGGGGGGSMTMTC